CTTCTTTTTGTCCACTTTTCATACCCCAATCTACCCTCTTCACTCATCATCCTGATGACTCAATATAATTATATGTAAAAAAAAAAAAAAAATAGTCTGATACACAAGGTACATTCAAAGCTCTCTATAACAATCTCGTTTGTTTTTATATATTTTTTGGCTACTATATTGAAGTGTTGTTATAGAGGATATACAGTCAAAACTCTCTATAACAACCTCGTTTATTCCTATATTTTTTGGCTACTATAGTGAAGTGTTGCTATAAAGGATATACAGTCAAATCTCTCTATAACAGCCTCGTTTGTTCCTATGTTTTTTGGCTACTATAGTGAAGTGTTATTATAGAGGGCATACAGTCAAACCTCTCTATAACGACCTCGTTTGTTCCTATATTTTTTGGCTACTATAGTGAAGTGTTGTTATAAAGGATATACAGTCAAATCTCTCTATAACAGCCTCGTTTGTTCCTATATTTTTTGGCTACTATAGTGAAGTGTTATTATAGAGGGCATACAGTCAAACCACTCTATAACAATCTCGTTTGTTCCTATATTTTTTTGCTGCTATAGTGAAGTGTTGTTATAGAGGACATACAGTCTAACCTTTCTATAATAGCCTCGCTTGTTCCTATAGTTTTTGGCTGCTATAGTGAAGTGTTGTTATAGAGGACATATATTATAACATAACATAATAATTGGTGCCGAAAAAAACTTGGCTTTTATAATGAATGACTATTATATGGGGATGCTGGCATATAGTGGTCTGACCGTATATTATAACATAACATAATAATTAATTCCAAAAAAAACTTGGCTTTTATAGTGAATGATTGTTATATGAGGATGCTGTTATAGAGAGGTCTGACTGTATCTCGTATTCACACAAGGTTCGGGGTACGGCCGCATCTCAAGGGGTATGATGTAACCAACCTACCCTAATACAAGTTTTAGTGGTTGCTTCCACAGATCAAATTCATGACCTATAAGTCACACAAAGATAACTTTATCGTTGTTCTAAAGCTCCCCTTCACTCTTAAGAGTCAATATATTGTCCATAATAAAATTAGGCCGAATATCTTAATGGACATCTCTATTTGTCATGTTTTGACATCTCGATCTCCCTACTCCAAGTGATTTCTATCCAAACATAAATTTTCAATATACATTCAAACCTTCTACAATATTATTTATAATGACCAAGTTTTTAAAAAAAATTGAATTTTCATATTATGTTAAATTATATGCTCTTTATAACAATATTTTGCTATAAAAATAATAAAATATCCAAACAAACGAAATAGCAGATGTTGTTGAAACCAGTAAAAGTCAGTCCGTGCACGTAGTATCCCGCGTTTAAACAGGGTTTGGTGAAGAGTCGCACCTCAAGGGGGTGTGATATAGGTAAGCTACCTTAATTCAAGCATCAATGGCTGACTCCATTATTCGACCTGTAGATCATACAGAAACAATTTTACCGTTACTCCGACGAGTTTGAAACCAATAAATAAGGGGAAGTTCTTGGTGAAATTTGAAAGCCAATATCGTTTAAGTGTTTGAGTTATGTTAGAAACTATAGATTGTAACTCCAATCTCGAGAATTTCTATTTTTGTTGTCCTTTTTTTTCCTTCTAATTTTTCATCCTTTCTTTTATTTTACCATTTTTATTCTATGGTTTTGTAGTCCGTGAGCTAGTCTTTAAACAGTGGACCCAAAATTTCAAAATTTAGGCATATGTCATAGCCTATATTTATGTCACATTGTAAAGGGGAGTAGGGGATGTTTGGAAAAATCAGGAAAGTTTCTTTTTAGAAGCAAAAAAAGACTGAATTTGGAGCCCTTTTTATAAAATTTACTATTGACTTTTTTGTAGATTTGAAATCAATTTTTTTACTTTGTTTATTTCAGTAATTTCAACCATATCTTTCTTTTCTAATTATAGGTTGGTTTTAGTACAGTAGGCTACAGAAGGAGTTGCTAAGTAAAGAACATTTCCAACATTCCTTTTGGGTTCAAAATTTGTTCATTTTATACATATATATATATATATATATATATATATATATTTGTTTGGCTTTGATTTTTGCAAAAAGCCCAAATTCTAGGAGTCTTAGACTTTGAATTGAATTGGGACATTGAATTGTCAGATGGTCATTAGCCCAACAAGTTGACCATCTGTTGGAGTAC